TCCTGAAAGATAAAACGGGGATAGTAAATTTGCAGTGTTTTTTTGTCTTTTTTTTTTTTACTGAGAAACAGGTTTACTTTCTCGTACTTTGTACCTCTGGACCTTTCATCCAGTACCTCTCTTCCCTAACCACCTAAATCTTCAAAGATTTCATTGCAATCTTCTACCTCCCTAATATCTATTCTTTTATTGTCCTTTCTCCCCCACTCTTAGTAACTTCTTGCATCTTAGTAGCATTATCACCTTGCTTGCGGTGAAACGATTAAAACATTGTCTGGGATATTACTATGTAGCCGACTATTTGCAATCGTTTATCCGACAAAGCCATGTACTTAACTTACAACATAGCTTTTGATAGTTGTCTATGTCCTAGTATTGTTAACGTGTACTTATTCGTTTTGCCGGTGTTTATCGAAAAGGCACTTATTTCATAGTGATTTTTCGACTAGAAAAGAGTTAATCGCTATGTCGTTTTCTGATCTAACCGTTTCATTTTTAATTACTATATTGGGATTCATCGACAAACTTTATTTTTCAATGAACGAAAGATTACCTACCAGATATAACACCAATAAATAATGTATCGTTTATTTTTTGCCCCAATAAATCCTACAAATTCTATGGTTAAAATCTTCCGGACTTGAGGAGTGCGGGTCCAATCAGTCAAGTTATAAAGTTTCTCATTACAGTGAATAGACAGCCGGAGCAAGGAAGTTGGTTTGGCAACATTGGCTTCTGGCCATGAGCCAGCCCGGAAAGAAGTGACGCCTGTTCAACGTGCGTCCTTCGGCCTCTAGCCCTTTAAGTAGACGTGTCTTGGAGATAATACAAGTGAACTTCCCCTATAGAAGTAAAAGACAGCCAAAATTACCTGGTGGTGGATAATGCTACGTTGATGCAAGCGTAGCGACGTTGGAATATTGCGACTTGTCTGCAAAGCTTACTTAAAGATAATCAAATTTTTATGCAGACGTGCAACCTACTACAAAGAATCGTGAGTAAACTCCAAGAGATAAGTGTTTTTGTAGATACTGTAAATAAATTTAGGAAGTTCAAATCGCGTTTATTTAACACGGTTTCCTATAAAGCTAGAAAAGGCAGTGTTAGTTTGTAAACTGAAAGAAAGAAATGAGACTGGAGAGAAGGATGTATTCTTCATCAAGAGATTTTATAAGTACAGAGTTGTCCGAAAGTCTTGTCACCCATAGACAATATAATTTTCTATTTCAGATGGATGACACGAACTCCTACCGACCTTTTCGATATTTGACGGCGTCAATGAAATGAATAAACTGAATCCAGTACATGTGTTTGTATTACTTGTTTTTTTTATTGTTCTCATTCATCTTAGCTATCTGGTGACATGACTTTTGGACCACTGTGTAAATTTACTGACAGTCTCTAAAGCAGAAGCATTGTACAGCATATATTGTTTTCCGAGGGCCTTTTGCTTAACTCTGAGTTAGTTACGCTCAAATTTTTAAAGTTCAAGGTGGTCCGAAAGTATTGTCATCTCTATATAATATAATTTCCTATTTTCTACTCCACCGTAGCTCTTGTTATAAATTAAATAAAAAAAAGCTATAATATATAGTTACGTTTTTGCTTCAGTCATAGATGTGTACGATTTTGCATATAACAATATATTAAACATAGCTTACATGTACCACAAGGCCGAAAGTAGGGTAGGCTAAGTGCGGAACTAACTCCCCACTCAGTTGCAATTGATCTAGCGAGAAAAGATTGCTAGTCATTACTGCGTAGAAGTGTCCACCATTTTGAATATGATTAGATTAATAAGAGTTCTTTTAATTCTTTCATTCTCGCTTTTTCTCTCTTCTTTTCTATCACTTTCTTTCCTTCTTTTTCTCCCTTTCTCTGTACCTCCATGAAAACAGAAAAAAAAGCTACCTATTGTTTGTGATTAATTAAATTTAAAAAAAAAATCTTGCAGATTGTTTGGTAAGAATCGGCTTGGTTGGCGGAATCGCTAAGCTAAATGCAAAGTGCAGCTTTGTCGCATTCAATTCTGAACAAATATCCCTGAGAAAACCATAAATCTCTCCATTCTGCTATGGATTTAGTCACAGGCTAGATGTTCTTTCTTGCTTTTAGATTCTGCCGTAAGCTACAATTAGCGATTTGAATACACTACTGTTTTTTCCAGTAGTGAAGTCCTCAAGTTAAGAATTCGTTTTATTTATTACTGTATATACAATAATTGTGGCACATAGCCGAAAGGGGAAGTAGGAAGAGGCTGGTCTTCACTATCCTATTCCTAATTAATTACGATCATGACCCATTCATCCAATACAATTGATCCATTTACCACAAGAACTCATTCATCGCCATTCAATCCTACTTATACCACAATACCACATATTCACCAAGGGAACCTACAAAAACACCCCATGATATAAAAATTTTAAATTCCTAAATACAAAATATATAAAAAATTCATGAAGCATGAAGTGAGGGGGGGATGAATCTTGAAAGCAAACTAAAATTAAAACAAAAACAAACTAAAACAAAACAGATGTTAGTAAGAACCGTCCACCCCTCAAAATAAACAGAGTGGCTGCTGTATTCTTCCAATAGACAGAATCAAATAGCACACTCACTAAAGGAATGGAGGATGGTAAAAAAGGACGGAATGGGAAAAATAAAATCTGATCCAGCTGAGATGAAAACGGGGACCAAAACAAACTGGGGAGGTTCGGAATCTCGACATGGACCATAACAAAAGAGTGCCTGGAACGGGCCAGGAGCAACACTTATTCGCATTAACTAGGCAAATCAACCAGGAGGATCACAGGAAACCGTCCCGTTGTGACGAAGTGAACTTAAAAAAGAAACTCAATGTTAGCTCCTTTCACACAAAACGAACTCGCTACTTTTACCCACCTTTCGCCGAAATATGTCGATATCAAACACTTTCTGTCAGTTCTGATATTCACATTCAGTTGATGCTGAAAGAATCTGACCAGAGCCTGATGAGAATAGTGTTCGTATCGCAAGATCCCCCCCCATCCACGACGTCTAAATCACCATTCGCCCCACGGCTAGCAGCGTCAGAAACACCATCCGTTTCTTCCCAGAAAACGCAGCCGACACATTATCGCACACGTATGCGAGATCAATGAGCACGAGAACATCGGGGGCGATACGAGCCTTCAAATCGCCGACATAGTCCCAGAAAGGGCACACCTGAGGATAATGGTAGGAGAAGTGTGAAACCGTTTCTTCTAAGCCAAGTTCACACCGATGAGAGTCAGGCAAATTCGACCAACCCCATCTGAATAATCTGTTATTGAGAGCGCGTTCCGAATCAATCGCCAGGTAAGCGAAAACTCAGGGTTACTGAGTTTACTCGACGCTGGCGCCCAAGACCAGAAAGAGCGCAACCCGGCCAACGACAAGCCGATCCACTCACACAGAGGATCGTTCGCGACCCCTTCCACTAATTCACGATACAAGACCTTTCGAGGCCGTGACATTTTTGTACGGTTCAAGCGCCTTCTGTAACGCCTCAATGTCGCTGCAACACGACACGAAAATGGATACGTTATCGGCGTACGCGGAAACTTTGGTTCGGGCTCCCCCATGGACAGCAATTCCACGTAGGGCCGGACTGCTCGCTCCGTCCGTCAGCCAGCGAAGGAGAGGCCCCAACGCCAAAGCGTAAAGTAAGGGCAACTGTGGTCAACCCTGACAAACAGACCGAGGCAGGGTTTTTAATGTTAATTTTTTATTTATTTATTTTTTTTATTATATAGATTTGAGGAGGCGGGTTCTGATTGTTATTGTAAAAAGGTATTCGCAGTATTTTCATATGGCACTGAATTGTAAATATGTGGCCTCACCTCCCCAATGAGAATACGTCTTCCTCTTTTCATCAGGTATGTGTATGTATCCTAGGTTTTATTAACAAAAGTTCCTCTATATGTAAACATATGCATGTTCTAAAACTTATTTAATCGCATTTGTTCTCCTGTAGCTTTCTGTTCTCGTGTATCCCAGAATCCGTGTTTGCGTGCATTCATATATGTGTATGCGTTTACGCAACAATAATTCACACGATTGGTTCACAATGGCTTTTCAAATTGACTAAATCGTTATTTGCAAATAGAAATTGCCTTCAGAGAAACCTTTAACTTGATGAATTAAAAAAAAAGGGAATTATTTTCCTCCATTCTTTTCTTCTGGATATCTTTAGCTGTCGGCTATTGAAGCTTCACGGAATTGGTCGACATTATTCTGTTCCGGATGAAAATAGATTCGATAAATTACGGAAAACCATCTATTTTCGAAATCTTAATATTTGATGTATTAAAATAGTTATAGATGGGGAGAGTGTGCTCTTTTCTTTCACTGCAATATTATCTTTTAATTTTTACCGAACAAAAACTGTATTGATAAATTTGGATTTCCTCCAGAAAGAAATCTCGGCGTCATTAATATAATTTTTTTTTTTATTACTGAAATTTAAGGAATTTTAACAACAAAAAAACCGTTGAAAAGAAACTGGGAGAAGATATTACAAAAAAAATATGAAAGATGCATAAAGAGACGTAAAAATCGACAGCAGATGGAAAAGTTCAATAATTGTAAAGCGAATTTAAAAAGAAATAAAAAAAAGTATTGAGAATCGAAAAAAAAAAGAAAATAGAGCAAGAATCTATCATTACAGAGTGAAGAAAAAAATCGTATGAAAAATAATTAAACAATTTTAAATATAAGAAAAATGAAGAAAAAAGCATGAATAATGAAATCTAAATCCAAAATGAGAAATGGAAGATAATGCAGTGAACATAAAAGGAAAAGGAAGTCTATAAGACGAACTTATAACATTTCAGTTAAATTCTGTAGAAAACTATGAAGAAACCCAAAGAATAAAATAAAGGTAAGATTTAAACTAACAGCACATGTAAATAAAAAGAAAATGATTAAAGGGAAAGAAAAAAAGAATGTGAGAAAGAATAGAATGAATGAATACATAATTAGAGAAGGAGGAGGGAGAGAATGTAAAAAAGGGAAAGAAATAAGGAGGAACGAATGTAAAAAAGGAGGAAGAAAGAAAAAAGAGGAGGAAAAACAAAAGGAAACGAAAAAGAGGGGAAAAAAAGAAAAGGCAGAAAAAGAAGGTAAAAAAGAAAGAAAAGCAAAAAGGAAGAAAAATGGAAAAGGAAAAAGAAAAGGAAGAAAATAGGAAAATAATCAAAACGAAGAGGACAAGAAGGAAAAGGAACAAAAAAGGAGGAGGAAAAAAACGAAAAAGAAAAGAAAGAAGAAGAGGTAAAAAGAAAGAAATGAGGAGGAAATTGTGAAAAAAAGGAAAAGGACGAAAGAAAAATGGAGGAAAAAAACGAAAAAAAAAAGAAATGAGGAGAAAAGTATGAAAAAACGAGGAAAAAAGAAAAGGCTGAAAGAAAAAGAGGATGAAAATGAATGGAAAGGCAGGAAAAAAAGAAGTAGAAAAAAAGGAAAAGAAAGAAAAGGAAGAAAAAGAAGATAGAAAAAGTAGAAGAAAAGGAAGGAAAAGAAATGAGTAGGAAAGTATGAAAAATGCGGAAAAAAAAGGACGGATGAAAAAGGAGGAGGGGAAAAAGAAAAAAAATAAACAAGGAGGGTGAAAAGGAAGAAAAAAGGGGAGGAAAAAGAAAAAGAAAGAAAAGAAAAGGGTGAAGAAAAAAAAGGAAGAGAGAAGAAAAAGAGAGAGAAATAAAGGCACAAAAAAAACCCAAGAAAGTTAGAGAGAAAGAAAAAAAAGAGGGAGAAGGAATGGAGGGAGAAAGAAACGGAGATTTTTTATTTAAACAAACAACTATGAAAAGTAGCCAAGAAAGATGAAATAAGGAAGAAAAGAGCGAAATACGAAAAAAGAGGGACGAAATAAAATTAATAAATATTTAACAACAAGAGAAAGCAGATGATGGAAAGAATGTAAAAAATTAATGACATGTAATGTCGAAGTATAATATTACAGTTAAATTGTATAAGAATTCATAGAAAGAAAGAAAAAAAGAGACAAAAAAAGAAAAGCAGGGGCTAAGAAAGAAATTAAGTAAAAAAGAAAAAAAGGAAGTAATTGAGAAGTGGGAAAGAGGAAAGAAAGAAAAATAAAAGAAAAAGAAGTAAGAAAGAGAAAAGAGAAAGAAAAAGAAAAACGAAGTGAGTAAGAAAGAGGAATAAAAGGGAAGGAAGTAAGAAAGAAAGGAAGTAAGATAAAGGTAGCAAATAGGAAAGAAAAAGGAAGGAAGGAAGAAAGAAAAAGGACAAAGTAAGAAAGGAAATGATGAAAAGAATAGGAAGGAGAACAAAAGAGAATGGCTGAAGAAGAAACGTAAAACAATGAAACGCGTTAAGAAAAATATAAAAACACAAATGTATTAAAAAACAATAAAAGAAAACAAACAAACAAAAAACATAGAAATTAAAAATGAATCCATGTACTAAAAATGTAAGAGAAGAAAAAATTGGAAAAAGAATGACAGGAGAAAGATGAATAAATGATAGAAAAAGATATTTTATTATTACGATGGAAGCCATAACGAAAAACAACCTACATATTAAAAGAAAAAAAAAACAAGAAAAACAAAACTTTCTTACCTTTAAAACTGAAAAGTATCAAACAGGGCCGAAGGCTAATTACGATTTCAGATATTATACAATGTCTCAGTGTTATTGCATTGAAAAATCTTTTGAAAAAATGAAATAATGATCATAAATGGAGAAAACTATCAGGAATTTTGATTCTTTTGAAAATTCCTTTCATTGTAAAGAAATATAAATCTTTGATTTCGGAATTAAATCAGAAAAAAATAGTTTATTTCAATAAAAATTTGGAGTAGTTACTTCTATTGATTTTCACTGGCAAAAAAATTCAATATACTTTTATGGAACTAAAGAATAACGAGTTACGATATAATGATTTGAATGGATATCTATATGCTTGAATAAAATCATTGATGATAGATGGGATTTAGCGGGGATGTAATTTCATGCCTGAACAACGAAATTGATCGAGCGTCATTGACTGAATATATGGAAGATTTAAGTTAGACTATAACCTATTGTATGATAGCTTGTTAACCAAGCAAAAACTACCGCGAAACGTGCATTAAACCTTATAAGAAGTCGATTCTTATAGACTGATTAAAATGTAGATCGAAGTGCGTGAATTTCCCGATGATTTGCTACCAGAGTATTAACTGTCATCCGTGCTTACTAAATGTCATGATCTGATAGAGATTCAGTGTAGAATCTGGCGAACCTCTCATTCATTTGGACGGCTTTCCAAACGTGTCTTCTCGAACAGGAATTTCATCAGTAAGACCCAGGTTCGCATCTACAAGTCAGTGTGTTTTTTCAATACTTAAATACGGTTACAAATCCTAGTTAACATACGGTCGCCATTTTTTGAATACTTAGATGTTTCCACATCTTTCGTCTCCAAGGAATCCTTAAGTTATAATGGTGGTATAAGATACCACATGTTATGGTTAATCGCTGGTTCTCGCTAGATCAATTACGACTGAAAATCGAGTTTATTCCTCACTGGGAACCCCATATATTCGGACCAGTGGCACATCTAATCTACGCTTGGAAAACCACCTTGGATCCTCAAACTTTCGACTTGTGCCATATCTAAGCTACGCTTAGAAAATCATTAGGGGGCACTCCGATATTGTATAATGGTTAGCAATCTTGTCTCACTAGATCAATTACGACTGAATATCGAGTTCGATCCTCACTGGGTGCTCCATACTCACGACCTTGTGCCACAATTAAGCTACGCTTATTATGACTATAAGGTACCTCACTATCTGTCTATATTTCTGAGATGAGGTATTGTCCTCATCTTTGTCGCTGATAACTGACATCCATTAAACATGGCACATGGAACTAGAACAGTCTACCACAGTGAGCAAAATAAAGGGTTCAGTTCGACATTCCAACCACCTGAAGAACGCCGGGGCGTACAACGGCCGAAACGTTGCAATAAATATGGCGACAAAGATGAGGGCAATAGTTCGAATAATGTAAATAAGGTACCTCATCTTGAAATTCAGAGCCGTTGAAAATCAACGACCGTCGATACCATGTTTGTTGAACGGCAATCACATTGGGTCGGTGATGCCATCCCCTATCTACTCCTGCGACGGAAGTTCTTCAGTAAATTGAAGTTAGGCGAAATGGGTGTCGATGGTCTCTATATCAGTACAGAAACAGCAGAAGACCGGTAATATATTCCCTAATCAAATAGAAGAGATGGCTGGTGACGACCAGTTGCTGATGTTCCTGCTTATACGATGCTCACACCACAGAAATAAGATTTTTTTTCCAGCAGGCATAAGAACGACGTCGAAGAAAGTGTTACTATCGAAGATAGTCTTCAGACATCTTACTTCCATCAAATTATTTGATTCTTATGTTGGTCAGACACATGAGAATCCATTCATCATGAGGGGAACTCGTCGACTTCATCTAAAACGACAGTCTACAGCGACGACGAACGAAGATTGGCTTCCATCTGAATTCAGAATAGTATTTTTTAAGCATAAATAAACCATACAACGCTGCAAATACATGATTGGATGCGACTGTATTCGTCACACAGTTATATTAAAGGCGACGTTATATCACCGTACCGACATAGGTTAAGTGTTCTGAGGGTAGTGAAGGTTGATTGGTGGGGATATATCAGAAGCTTTGGATATCAATGGAAATTGTTAGAGTATAGAGAAGAATTTCGGGAGAGTTGTTTATCACTCAAAAAGTAAAGTATTACTATCACCGGACAGACATAAGTGAATTTTATTGAAGGTAGTGGATTCGAAAGAAAGGGCGGAGGGATATCAAGAGTTTTGTTTATCATTGGAAGTAGTTAGAGGCAAGTGGTGAGAGGGTGATATTTTGTAAACAGCCCCCACCTTCCTGTCCTCTTGCCACCATTTTAGAATACGTGAAGGAAAACACTTACACACAGCCTTTCATAGAATACCTTTTAAGTTTAAAATGAATTAAATGTAATTTTCTGAAACACTTTTGAATTTCCTATAGAGATAATTGATGAGTAGCCTTTAATTACTTTAAATTTCATATGAATATACCAAACAAGATCATCATCGAACAGTGATAATAAAGTTATTTTTTCCCTATGTGGTGACTGAGATCAGTCATAATACACATAGCCTAAATGATTTAACAGAAATACGCTTACAGTTTTATTGCAATTGAAACATGAAGAATTTAATAAATTGGTAAATCTAATGATATACAAGGCGAGGAAGAAAAACAATATAACTTCTTTGATATTAAAATCGCTTAAAATCACAGCAACAAAGGAACTGAAAATTAATTTAACTTTTAAAATTTCTTAAATTTAACATTTTATTTGCATAAAATTGCGTCAAAAAATTGCAGATGTCAATTAAAATTATTGATGTTAAAAGAACAGATAAACAGATCTTCACAACGCCTACACACATATATATCTTTCATTAAATATGACGGATAAAGAAAAAAAAAATTTATTTAGTTTTCTCTGTGTACTTACATTTTCCCGTTTGGTGGGAGTAAGGGAATGCAGGTATTGTCTATTGTCCAGTTTTCTGCCACTACATTCGAACATACTGCCACCTTCTTGAGTAGACGCCTCACAGGTCACTTATCAGTGCTATAAAAAGAACATCTATCTATCCACAATTTACACGAACCCTCAAGAGAAAGTCGGAAACACTAAAATTCAATATAAGTCACATTACAGGAAACATTTCGCTATAAGAAAGGCACTGTATATTAAGCATCTCTTTTCCACTACCAACCTCACTTTATTTAAGAGTAGGAATGGAATGTTGAAAGTGTAAAAAGAATTCGAAAGATGCTCACTCGAATTCCAGCTACGCTCAACCAGGAAGGCTCGGAATAAACTCTCTTACTAGTATTTACTGTCATGCAAATATGAAATACATCAGTAACAGTAAAAACATGAAGATAAATTGACAACACCTAAAACAAACTATCTAGAAAATGCCTAAAGAAATGGCCGAAAGAGGTCTGGACAATGGACAATTTTTGGACTGCTCACTCTCACCAAATGGAGTAATGTAAGAACGTTGGTAAAAACTAAAGGAAAAAAAAATTAACATACTTTTTCATATTTAACGAAAGATTTTTAAAAGAAATTTTGTCTGCCAAATATACATCAATCAATCTATCTATCTATCTATCTATCTATCTATCTATCTATCTCGCTCTGAATATATATATATATATATATATATATATATATATATATATGTGTGTGTGTGTGTGTGTGTAGACCTTGAAGTGAGCACAGATGCTACATGCTGTTTCATCTGAGTGTTCACTTCAATGTTCACTTTCATATTTATATTTACATACGCTCTATCTCTGATATTGAGCACTTTATCTCATAGATATAGCACACCTTAAAACTATATTTCTACATATATATATATATATATATATATATATATATATATATATATATTATTGCTGAATTTGTTAAATGAGTTATCATTATTATATACAGACATTTCGGATGATGTGCCCTCCGGATTTCTTTAGGTGTCTGCTGATCCTGGTAAACTTTAATGAACTTCATACTGAATTATTTATTTAATCTACAGACGTAGTGCTCTCGTCTTGCTGGCTATGTTTCATCATGTTTCTTTCTTATTTTATTATTTCTAAATGCCCTTTATCCACTAAGCGAGCTACCCGGATGGAAGCGTTGGTTCATGAATTTAGTGCTGACAGATGTGACCTCAATCTCTTGGCCGTCTACTACAAACGCAATGGATATAGGTTGGCAAAAGATAGAAGTTGTAAAGAGACCTATCGCCTACGTCTTTGAATGACCATGTTACATCAAAGACCCATCATCACTGATATAATTTAACATCTACGGTAACATTAAATAAAAAACAAAAGTAATACTTCGTCTCAGAAAGAACACTTATACACGAAATACATTTGGTAGAAAATTCTAATTAGAAATGTTGGTAAGTGGTTATGTTGATCATAATTTTCGAACTACTGATATTTGTAAATGGGAATATTCTATGATCTATATTGGTATTCATTTAGGTGAACCGCTTTCATCAAATATGCACTACAGCTGCACAGGGAAGACTTTAGAGTTTCTAGTGAAGAAGCATTTTTTTTCAAATACCGATCACGACAAATCGATATTTGAAAAATGATAGTACGCTCAAAACTTCGCTGACGATGACTTGTGATTTTGAGTTAACAACCGCCGACGACCCCCCACCCCTGGTTCGGTTTACAGGCACTTCCCACCAGGCTGATATAATCAAGGCGTCACCCCGATAAATCAGTTTTCGTGAGATTCGAATGGGTCTCATGATCGGGATATATATATATATATATATATATATATATATATATATATATATATATAGGTTTTTCGTGGTACAGAATTTAATAATAAGATAGGAAAAGACAATATTTCTAAGGCATTTTTAAAAGAAAAAGCTAAAATAAAGACAACCGGTTTCGTCCCAGGACTTATCAAGTTGATTTATTCTGGGAATCTAAAAAGCGTGTAAATTAATTTTTAATTAACGAATGTAATCGAATGGGGAGTGGGAAATTATGAATTTCAAGAAACTAGAGTCCAATAATATTCAGACCCAGTAAGCATTCCCTCTGTTTACAAAGGGAAGGCTCCCTTGAAGTGAAATGTTGAGTGAGACCTAGATAAAATTATAAATCGGTCACCACTAAAATTTTCCACACATTTCCTTCTATTTATTAAATGTTCAGCAATAGCAGAACCAGAACTGTTAGTCAGTTGGCTATTCCTGGAGGACGGATTCAAAATCCGGGTGTGGGGGGGAAATGCTGTTTTATTCTCGAATCCAAACGCTGGGACGTCATCCCTATGTAGTCGTGTCCACAGCTACACTTGTATTGGTAAATCACTGAATTAACATGATGGGGAGGGAGAACGTCCTTACGAATGGAAGAGAAAGCAGGACGGGTAACAAATATTACCTTAACATTCGCCGAAAAATAACAACTATATATATATATATATATATATATATATATATATATATATATATATATATATATATATATATATATATATATATATATATATATGAGCACTTTGACGGATTGGAATTTGTTTACGTTCGTAAAAACAATACGTTAGAATTAGCTGTTTCTGCCGAGCGATGATAGCTTAGGGGTAGTCGTCCTGGCTATGGCGATAAACTACGTCCAACAGC